ACGTAGTTTTAGAGCCTAGTAGAATCTTCTGTAGACATCCGAATCTGAGCACAGATGAATATTTCCTGCTCATTACTTTCATCAAACCAGTCTTTATTTTTTTGCAGGGAACCCTAAGGATTCCACGGAAGACTGTAAGATGCTGGTTTTAATATGTTGCCGAAATACTTCAGGAGAGGGATCTGTAGAGTGATTTTGAAATCTGGTTTGAATATTCATTGGAAGTTATTTCCCACAGAGTATTTGGAAATTATTAACTTTGAGTCTCCTTCTTGGAATTCTACCTCTCTCAGGTTTGGATTTAAAGCCCAGGTTGAGTTTACATCGTACAAAGGGTGGTCTGTTCGTCGTTCTGCACTGGACATCACATGAGTTCTCTGACACACTAAGACAGAGTCAGTGATATGCCAGTGCTGGGATCGAGGATGCATGTAGATTGTCTTCAAACTGTCTCTCTCCTGAAAGATAGTGTTTATGATGGTGAGTTGCTGCTCTGCACAAAACTCTAGCAGAAATCGTCCGTTGTAGTTGTAGTTTCCAATGCCATGCTTGCCTAATACACCTTTCCAGGCTTCGAAATTCCTGCAACTCTAGTATTTGAAGTCACCAAGGATTATGACTGTTTCATTCGGAGGAACTTTTTGGATAAAACGGCGTATGTCGGTATAGAATCCTACTTTTTCCATAGGGTTAGCTTGCAGAGTTGGATCATACATGCTGAGAAGAAACTTGTTGCTTATTGTATAGTGGAAGGCATAAGGAGATAATAGAATTCGGAATGACCTGTCGAAAGATTTTTGAGTTTGGAAGCGGTGGGGTTTTTGACCATGAAAGCAGCTCCCAAAAGGCGATTTTCGGTTTTAGGTTTTCCTGACCAGTAGAATATGTTACTGGCGCCATATTCACTGTGAGTAGTCTTCATGGAGATGAACTTCACAGAGAGCAGCAATGTTGAGTCGCTATAATTCGTGAGCAATTAAAGCAGAATGACGTCCAGGACGTCAACAGTTTACATTACCAAGCATGGTTCTGAAGTTCTAGCACACGAATGTCAATCTGTGTACACCTTTGAAGGTAGGTGTATGCTTTAGTCTTTTTGTCTTCAATTGCTTCAGAACATGCTCGTTGGTCGCGGTTAATCAACCGGCTGGAGATAGAGATGAGCTTTTATTAGATCACCTTTTCTAGGCCCCTTTCCGTGTGGAGCAAGCAGTGCTTTCCTTGAAAAAGGTTACTTGGTTGTTCAGGATGCTGCCGAACAAGGCTTTCATCTTCTAAGGTCAGTCCCGAGCGACCAATGTCTTGAACCGTATGTATACAAGATTGGGTCTGCGGCTTCCAGTGCATCTTATAACCTGCTGTTTCATCCCTTATCTTCGTTACAGGACTTTAAAAAATGGGTATGTCCTTCGAGTCTGCGTGGTAGATTTTTCAGGTGAGGCATAGCGTGCGCGGAAGCGCTCCCACCCTTTCACTCCTAAGGTGCATCTGTTAGAACCTAGCGAGCTCGGATGGTGACAGCAAAGTCTTTAGGACGTACGTTTAGCTAGAGCATCCTTCTCTTAGAAAGATGGTCTTACATGGCTAAACGAGTTCCATCTGGCCGAGTTTGGGATCAGAGTTGTTCGTCAGATGGTTGTTGGATGGTTGCTCGAAGATTAACGAGCCCATCCTGCCCGTGAACACATTTTGTCTGGTCCTTCAGTTGAGACCTGGCATGGGAGGTCCTACAGGCAATAATTGCCGCAGCTAGCATAGTTCGTAACCTCATAGGGGCATGCGAGCCTCTCCCCCACGACAAGGGATGACCGTGGAGAACGGTTACGGCATATAAAGCACATATGATAGAGCTTTTATTTCTATTCTTTTTTGGATTCAGAAATTTTTTAATATTCAACGAACCACACATTTAGTAAGCTTTTCTTCAGTTTTTTTGTATCTCAGTTATAATTTGAATATCAAAAATGAGTGACATTATTATGATGAAATGACCTGAAGTTATGAGAAAACCGTCGGAATCTTCATTTTAAAGTATTATAAAGTATTGTATCCCCTTATTTGCAATAAAATTGTTATAATTAGAAAAAAAGAACATTAACAATAATAACTATCCCACTGGTTCCACATTTCTAATTTATATTATTATGTAATTAAGCATCGTCGTATAATTATGTATTCCAAAATCGCTATTTGCAAAGAGATGTTGCACCGTTTCCTGAATTTCACAACTGTCAGATTTCTTTTTTTGTAATCACAAGGTAACTCACATGAAGATAAATGTGAATGGCAAAGTAATCTATATGAAGATAAATGTCAAACAAGCCTTTCTGTAACAGCCGAAAAGATCAATCGAACTTCCAACCGGATCAGTAACACACATTGCTGCAACCAAAGAAGTAACGTGCTTAAGTGAAACACGTTTCGCATTATTATAAGAATGGCTTTCAACGACATCCAAAGAGACAGATTATCCAGTGGGTTTTAAGAAGAATGAGGAAGCATAGAAATATAAAAAGTAAAACTAGTGAAGCATTTGTTGCCTGAAGACAAATAATATATAATGGTATTGGTATGAATGATATTACCGTAAAACGTCATTTCGATGATCAAATAGTGTTCGAGCAATTCACCTTTTGTGATTAGGAGTGCATGAAAGTCGGGAAACATGAAATGAATATAATGAATATAAGTTCTCCACTCGTCAATCGCTATCCAGATGACGATGAGAAATATGTTCAGTGTCAGTAATTATTTGTTAGATTTTAATTTAATTCTGTGGAATTCAAACTAGATAATTTGCAAGTTCGGATTCTTCCTAATGTTCTTGATAAGAGTAAAAAATCTACCCTTTTGTCTGTAAGCGTAGGCTAAGTGCTTTTTGGGTTCAAGCAAAATATAAAGACCCAAATATTTGAGGAACAACGGATAGAATTACAAGACACCATTATCTTTTAAAAACCAATTTTTTTTTCTTTTTTCTGATACCTTTTTCATGCATTACTTCCCGTTCCCACATTAACCAAGAATTTTCAATTTGTCGAGAGGTTTAAAATGTTTTTTTAATCACAGGAATCAATATCAATTGCTCGTCCTCAAAGTTCCCAGAAATAAAAATAATTTCAGCATAACAAAATGGCAAACATGAAGCGCATACATACCCTTATTCAATTCCGGAATATAAAACACGTACATGTTCCTGATACAACTGCAAAGCATGCTGTCAGTATAGTGATCCTTCGCAGCATGGTGCATCAATTATCCCGTTACAGTACAAAAGCAAATTGTTCTTTTCTCAATCCCTCATACTGCTGTAGTAATGGATATTTGGACTTCTTAATAATTCATACACATGCATTAAGATCCAGAATAGACTTTAAATTTAGCCATTCTGGCAGAATTGCTGCAAAAAAATGACAAATAAATACACTGACATTACTATTTACAAAACAGCGTAATTAAATAGAAAAACTATCCAATATTTAACCGAGCACCTTACAAGATGTTATGTTTGGAAGTATTGTATTTACACACCCGCGTATTTCTTTCGAAATGCTGCAATGTCATTTTTATGCAGAAGTGGATTTATTTTCGCCTGACTACTGATTAGCGATGCACCCGATGGCCAAACATTAGCAACCAGCTAGAAATTAGAGAAATAAAGTGTTTGCTATTGCATTATTAATATGAGCACCATCGTGCACGATTTCGAGGAAGAATAAGTTACCGAAATGTGCTAAGCCGTATATTTCCAATTAAGGCATTAATGACTTAGAGCATAAATCAATAAACTTTTTGGAACATGAAACGTGCAGAGGATCAACTGCTAAATACAGTAACGGATTTGAACCTTGTTCCATTTTGCCAATATTACTTAATCGTCTCAAGAGTGTTATGGAGAAGAGGATAAGAGAAAAAGAGATGTCTGAAATAAGATTCGTGCAAATAAACCTTATTCAAGCATCCTGAATAATTCCTGGTAAGCATCCATTTATCATGAATTCTACTACCGATTAACACTGGAGATTGTCCCGTTAACTCTGCCACCATCATATTCATTAACAAAGTCAAGCAATGCGATAATTTTGATGCTATTTCTTTGGCAGGTGTTGGCATCCACTGTTCAAAAAGCAACAGGTATTCTCTTAAAAAAGACCACATCTTTCATCTATTCTATTTAATAACGTACACAATACCCATAAAGTTTACTTATAACACAGGCTTTCTTTCATGTACCGCTGTAACTTACCTTTTTATCAAAGCAAAATGGAATAGAATCAGCGAATATCGACTGCTCGGTTTAAGTTCAATTGTTGGCACTCCTCCTTCCATCTCAAAAAAAAAAGAAAAAACTAGTATCAAATGCAGACCATATTACAATAAGGAGATACTACAGAATGCCGTAAACTCCCATAACAAAGCCATGGATGCAGTTATTTTAAACCTACTTTCTTATCCCGTATCTCTCCTTTTCCTAACCACCCTCAAGTTTACTAAAAACGATATATTAGAGCTATCTAAAAAAAAGTAAAACCACAATTAGTCAGCACACAGCTTTTAGAAATTGTGCTATGGGATTCATATATATATATAAAAAAAAACTTTGGAATCGGCAGCATAAAAACCATAAAGACGATAAGGATCAGCGTTTGCCACATCCACTAAAAAGCGGATATCATCAGCTGCAATAGGCACACGTTCATCCATAAATAAAACAAATTTACCCAAAAATTCAGCTTGCAATGCCTGAGCTTGACTCAAAATATCACCATGCACCTAAAACTTGTAAAGTATAAGCAAGCAGTGAGTTCCTCTTATATAAAATTTCTTCTACAAAGTTCACATTAACATATAAGTCCACAAATAAGTTAAAGCAATTTACTCTGAATTAAAAGTGTAATAAGCTTACATCGAAGTCACCCTGTTGTACAAATATCTTTGTGCCAAACCTGTCAAGATTAGTTTTCATTTGACGACTTTTGGGCCACAGTATAATAATCTAAAAATTTAGCAATAAATTACTTTTATTTCCAAATGCAATACATTGACTGACACAGTGAGCTCAGGTTTGACGTACGCAGAAAAATGAATTTGTTAAATGATTCAAGCCTAGCTTTAGTGTCAACATAAAAAGATGATCTTCATTTGCCCTCCTTAGCGATCTCTTTAAGATTTTTCCATTCGTTTCAATAGAATTCATGAAAGTTTGTGTAAGTCGCAGAAATTCTCGATATATCTTTAAAAAATGCCTAGTTTTTTTCAGTACCAACCACAAGAAATATCAAATATGAAGCAATGCCCAAAAAACGGAATATAATACTGAAACGTGAAATATGCTCAGTAAGTATTTCACCTTTTGTATTTCATTGATATCAGTGAGTAAATTTATAATTCGATTCAATCTTCCAGATACTTTTATTGCAGCTCTTAGAAGAACTGTATAACCATTTTCATTTGATGGAGGAAAATTTTCAACAGATAAAAACAAACGATTCCAATTTTTTGGTTCCTCGCCTCGTTGCTTTTTGATACGTTCTTCAATGATCTGTAAATCCAACAGAGAAATTTTATCAAAATAAGCAAGAGTAAAAAGAGAGCTTTCGCTTGAAAAATCTCGACCTGCAATGAAGTGAGTGCAATTTTTTCCACACTACTAAAATATCGCTGATATAAACCTCGTGATTGCTGCTTCATAAATAAAATACGATCGAATGGTATAGCACTCAAGACATCCGAAATCTGCAAAGCAATTGGCTAGAAAAAACAAAAATATTCCAGTGATTCTAAAAGACTTCAACATATTTGCTTATGACTAGGACCAGCAGTGACTGCGTCCTAGAACGTCTCGAGGTTACATCAAATACTAATGGCGGTCACTTTAATACCTGATCTTCTAAACTACAGATTCCTATTGTCAGGTAACGAATATATTACAACAACTACATATTATTAAAACTGACCGTAAGGACAGTATCTTCATGACCGATGACCACTGCTTGACGCCAATCAATCACTTCTGAAAACGGCAATTCCCAGTCATCGGATAAAACAACTGGGATGCAACCCAACCGAAGTGCTTCCAGAAAACGAAACGAGCCAAGACGTCGTCCACGTGGTGTAAGGCAAAATGTTGAATTAGCCATGGTCATTTCATAGTCCCAACTAAAGCAAAAACATAAGGAAATTTGATTTTTGTCCGACTAGAATTCTGATAAATTTACAACTCCCATAATAAATCCTACCACTATGTGACATGTGATCACCTAAGCTCCTTCGCTGTAGAACGAACAAGTCAAAATTCTATAACTTCTGTTTTTAAGGTTTAATTGAATTTCAAAGATTTACCGATATCCTCAAAAATGCCAACAGCCTAACAATATTGGAAATAATTTGACGCTTGAATTCCAAAATACTTCACTGAAGTTCTCAAAGTAAAGTTCTGGTATTGTTAATAGATAAGTCACGATAAACGTCTAAATACTGTGGGAGAAATAAAGTCTTCCCAATCACGGTCAACGTTCATTCAAATTATAATCCGGAAGTGTGGTTTTTTTATTTAAAGCTGCTGCATAATTTATGTTTCCTTACTGATCATATTCGACATTGTCCTCTTCGCAACGCCCGTCCTCATATTTCTTCCAATCTGTGTTATGCTTACATGTTGTAACCATGATTACAGACTGTCCATTATGAAGATGATAAAGGGAGTCACGCGTTTCCGAACCAATCCCATAAACGTACCGTTTGCCTTTGAAACTTACCAGGTATTTGTCTTTTATTTTTAATGACCATTCCGCCTGAAAATGTTAACTCACTCACCATTCCTCATGAAATATTCACAGCTTTTCCATTTTCATTCTACAAAGCTCTAATTTCGTGGGACCTACCTTCTATCAGAGACCACAGTTATCACAAAGAATGATAAATTAATGGTTTCATAAGCTGACTCAATTTATTGCTTTTCAATTTAGTACATGAATTAGGACACGTACATTCTTTACTATTAAGAATTGGTGATAGACTTAGTAGAAGCAATGAAAGTTATACATCGCCAAGAGGGTGGAAAAATTTTATTTACTGATTCAAAACAAACCTTTATGGTCGTTCTTAATGGATGCTCTTTATGGAAAAGAGGAAACGATAGATCAAAATTCTCCCTGAATACCTAAAAACATTGTACTTTAAGAAAACATGTTATGTCAGGGACGAAGTTACTCCAAAAATTAAAATAAATGAAAAATAAGACATCAACGGGAAAACATTCGCGAAAACTAACTCGAGTGTTTGCACTGGCACGAGCAATAAGAGCATAACCTGTATCGAAGCCAAGATCATGATCCGAATAATCCGGATATGTACCATGATAAAGATTGAATATAACATGATTGCGGCCACGGTTCCAAATTTCAGTCGGCAAATTTCCTATCAATTCATTGACATACTTTACATAATTTTCGCTAAAAATAAGATCGTGTTTGCGGGAAAAGTGGAGAATAATTTAAAAAATTAAGAACTGGCAGAGCTAAAATGTAAAAATAATAATTAAGAATGAATGATAATCAATGGACAAAATGAGTGTCCAGTACCTTCTTCTATCCCGATCCACGGTATCGATGCCTAGAACAAACAAGCAAGCCTTTTGAGGGTCGTCGGTATAATACATGCTTTCTCGGATAACCTAGATAGTTTCACAAGTGACACCTATTAGACCAATTAGTAACAATTAGATTTTTGAATGTAATAAAAAGAGAAAAACGGATAACATTTTACTCACAAATAAATCTACTTTTGACTACAAAATCTAAAAACAAACAATCACCAAAAGCGAAAGTGCACAAAGGACTGGGGCAAAAATAATTACAAGGGAAAAAGTCTAAGAAATTGGTTATTTATTAAAATTGTATAGGTTTAATCACCCAGTCCATGATAAGAAACATATATCACTTTTCCCTAGCTATATTTGAAGGTTCGGGAAACTTGTACCGAAGACTTGTTCAATCATATTTAAATAGAAAATTCATCTAGAAAAAATGAACTATCATCACTCCGAACTTTTAACAGAGTTATGTTAATATATGAAAAATGTGAATTATCACGTCAAGTGCAAGAACTTACTTTCAATATGTTATTGTATACGATGGACATCGCTGAGCTATTGTCCGACGGATAAACATATACACGAAATGCATCGTGCGCTAAACACCGCGACAAATCGAAACATTGCGACATCGTGCATTCAGAAATCCTTCAAAAAAAGAGCAGAACGAATTAAGCTTAACAAAAACTAACGCAATCAGCAATATATTAAAGCAGAAAAAAAATGGCAAAAAAAGCCACGGTGTTAAGGTCACTGGAACCAGGATTACATATCCTAGCAAAGACAATTTTCTTCCTTTTCAGTTTCTATCCTCAGGAACTTGATCTCAAACAGAGTATGTGTAGGTTATATTTTTAGTCCTAGCTAAATGATATCATCGAATTATACATGGCTTTACTGCCGCTAAAGAAATACAACCAGACACTTCTCATTGATTACATGCATAATTAGGCTTGACTAGAAATATGTTATCACATAGCAGTAAGATTTGATTTGAAAGAAATACACAACATTCTGGTCGGAAATCTAAACCAACGATATAGGCCAACGATGGGGTAACAGATAGCTTCATCAGACTTTTTTTCTTGGGATTATTCACTAGAATCATTCATTTGTCACCCTACCATTAATAAATAAAATAATATAGTTCATCTATCGTCAATCTTGAAAAAGATAAATTGATAAAAAACAAGCAAATGCAATTCTTTTCTAGTAAAGCTGCTCAACATGTTTCGAAACTGTTTGACTAAACTCTGTTACACTTAATGGCTTTATAAGTAAAATTACTGAACACACTTGATAGGCCATTCTTCGATATGATATGACGTCTGAATACTCAACAACTCCAATTCAGTCATATAGGATGTTGTTACAGGCAGTTCCGATGTTAATTTGAAGTGATGTCGATATCCAAAAAACAATCCCAACATAAGCAAAAAAAGTCCTATTAACGAATAACGTCCAGTAGCCTTCATCTTTTTTGACGCCACGTATCCTTTCTAAAGGTCAGTCAAAACGTCAGCTAATCGGTTCAGGTAACCAGCTGGAAATCCACATTCCCATCACCAGTAAATAAAAGTAACCTGAAAAATAACACGTGCATTACAATGACAAGAACGCACCCCTCAAGTCATAAACCACCATCTCCTCTTGTCACAGGTCACTATCTCTGACGTACACATAACTCCCTTCACCCCCTGGGGCAAAATGATTCCCGCTGGTCCCGAGCCCCGTGACCGGACATGTTATCGCTTGATATTCAGATTAAGACGCTATGAAAACAGCGTCTCACCTAAAAAGGAATTTTTGACAAGATTCAAAAAAAAAACAAAAACAAAACAAAAAAGAGATTGGAAAATGGAACCAAACGAGATCAAAAATTTTCTCATTTAATCATTTGGCTCTACTTGACTATAATTTTGCCTTTGTGTTCAAATTTAAACCCAAATATGATGAACTAAAACGTGCAATTCAGAAAATTTCATGACATTTGAACTTTGGATTCAAAATATGTGTTAGTTTAAATCTTGAAAAGATTTAGAAGGTTAAGTTTAAAATTAAGAAAACGCTAACTTGATTGAATTTATTTTCTTCAAGACTAAGAAAAATTTATTTTTTTAAGATCAAGTTTTTAAGATGAAGTTTAGAAAAAGACTAAGTTCTTTCCCTTTGTTGAGTATTTTAACACTCGGATTATTACATTGCATAGAATTTTTGCAGGTTTTTGATGTTTTTTTGCCGGACAACCGGAGAACTTAGGACTTGCTTATTAAGCGTATATTGTCAGGTTTGTTTTGATATCATGTGATATATGAATTAAATAACTTTGCTGTTGATTATGTATGAATCGAAGTATTATAAATTTCAAGTTTTACATTAAATTAATCAGAGATGCTCGGTGCTTAGCTTAAGAAAAAATTCACATCGACTCGAGTGAATTTAAAATAGTTCCGTACGGTCAGATCTTTAGCGGAATATCTGTGGAACATTCTATAGTATTCGACTTGATTGTACATTTATGCTTGACAATATGGTACTTTGTAGTGTGCCATGGAATTTGGATGTATTTACTGTTTGTTTCAATCTGATAGTGTAGGAGCCTTTCAATCCATGTTAAAAAGATATAGCAAATAATTAAAAGTATCATATCTTAATTGTATGCTTAAACGATAAGCAAAAACTAGATTGGAAAGAGTACGGGATACTAGATGAATGTCTCATTGGTAGAGTTCTATCTAACATAGATCGATTACAACTAGCATATAGTGCAGAATAATCATCATCTGCCATCTTATAAACATGGTGGAAAAAACACCATAATCGTCACAAATCATTTGTGGACGACAATGTAAAAATATTTTGAAATACCATCATCATACCATGTGATGATCGCTCTATAGAGCCAAAGGAAATGATCTGAAATTGTTACTACATTTTTACAAAGTGGTTTGAACAACTAAGGATTTTACATACAGTAGTAATAGTAGTAGGCGTGAGAAATTACACTGCAGCATTTTAATGTCCCGATTGGGGAACCCCCTCGTCTCCCATTTTGATGTAATTTCATCTCGTGGCATATTATGTCCCCCACCTGCTCTGCTTGACATTACAGTTGCTGATAAAGTTGACACGGAAAGAAGGGTGAAGGAAAGGAATATATGGAAGATGAGGAAGGTCAACAATCATATCTTCAATCTGCTATTATCAATGATATCTGTTCATTTACCTCACGACCAAACAACTGATAGAAATGCTTCATTTTCCTCGGAAAATAATAGCATTCTATCGCGGAGCTTCAATAAATTCATGTCTTTAATGACGTTCCCTTGTTTATTTTATTAATTGTCGCAAATTTTATAATTATCGCTTTTTTTTTTATTCCACTTAACAAATGACGATAGTGGATAGTAGGAATGATAATGAAAACAATTAATTATATTGTTGATGGTAATGATAGTGCTAGCGATATTAATATTAGACTACAGTGTGATAAGTTAATTAACAAACTATAAATTTAGAATATATTATCAGTTTTAAGTATTAATTGAAAGATGACTCTCAACAAATGACCCATATTATCTCTTAGTGGTACTGTAACTTTCCGAACATTTGGATAAGATGACATATTGAAAGGAACAAATATCATTTGGCTAGGAGAAGAGGAGAGAAAGGAAGAAAAAGAAAATTTATTATTAATTAAATCTGTATAAATTGAAGCATTCTTCGAAACATCCTTATCGAAATGCGGTTGAGGAAGAATGACGAAAGAAAGATGTGACGACAAAAGAGAAGGGATGAAGGGAAGTTGACATTAATAATTGCTAACTGTTGATATAAGTGATGTGATTAAGATTGATCAAATGATAACTGGCGGTAGTAGAGAAAGTGAGTAATGGTATCTGTGTTTCTATTCCTGCTAGTATAAATGATACCGGTAATAGTGATGGTGGTGATGATGATGATAATGATGATGTATTGATGCTCATGATGGTGATGATGATGATGAAGGTTGCAGTGATGGTGCTGTATGGCGGCTGCAGCTGTTATAGTTGATCATTGCAGCATTTACATTCCTCCAAATGACATACCATTACTATACCTAATGAGGTAGAAAATAATAATAATAATAATAATACTAGTAGTAGTAGCAATAATAATAATAATAACTGATAATAACAGTAATAATAATAATCAATGGTAATAATAATAATAGCAGTGATAATAATTAATGGTAATAATAATAATTAATAGTAATAATAATAATTAACAATTAATAGTAATAATATAATAATAATAATAATAATAATAATAATAAATAAATAATAATAATAATAATAATAATAATAATAA